TCCACCTTGATCTCTACTTCGGTGTTGTTCTCCTGGGGTAATGATGCCGCTGCTCCGTTAGCCGACGATGCTGCTGGTTCTACAGGGGGACTCACTGGAGCGGCAACATCCGGAGCCCGTGCGATCTCATCGATGGACACTGCAGGGGTAAGACTTGTCTGATCGTTCATAAGATTTTCCAAGTCCACCTCAAGGGAATCAGGACCTCCAGCAGCGCAGTCCATGGCACAGGGAGCAGGGTCAGGCTGAGTTCAACGCTCGGGAGCACGGGAACACTCTCAACAGAAACGCTGCGAGAAATCTGACATCCAGCTATGAGTTGACATGGGCATCCACAACAACACACTGTTTCCCTTGCTTGGGGACACGGCGGATGTTCTTCGTGCAGTTGAACCACCGCTGCTCCTCGGAGCATGCACCTTAGCAGCACCAGCATGTGGGCTAGCAGCATCAGTACGTAGGTGCGACTTTTTTGAAGCATGGTCCCGCATCAGGAGTACACGTCAAATCTAGAACGGGTTAGCGTGGACTTGAATAGGAATGACATCCGTAAATCGAGCATTCGTGTGTCGAATGGTGTCCACGCAGTTTGTACATCTGAGGCTGTGGGTATCAAGGTTCGGATCATGGCACTGTACAAGGCTTCCCTTTCAAATGTAGAACGGACTAGCATGTCCTGCGGCAAGGATGACACACACAAGTCCACGATGTTTACACGGATAGGCGCGCGAGTAGCTTATGCAATGGCCCCGCACCAGAAGTATACGCTACATCTAGAACGGATTAGCATGGACTTCAATAGGCACGACACTCACAAATCGAGCATTCGTTTGTTGAGGGGCTTCCATGCAGCTTCTACATTTTAGGCTGTGGGTCCTGCGATGAGGATGACACCCACAAATCCATGATATTTTTGCATGGATATGAGCGCCCGCAGCCTGTATCTGCAAGAAAGAAGTCTTGAAGAGGTTATCCTGTTCTACAAGAGCAAGGACATGGGATCGAGAGAGCAGGGGACAAGAGGACGATGGGATCAGGGGACAAGGGGACAGGGGGCAGAGGCACAGAAGGACAGGGGGACAGAGGGACCGCGGACGCGGGACAGGGGGACAGGGGGACAGGGGGACAGGGGAACAAGGGGGACAGAGGGACAGGGGGACAGGGGGACAGGGGGACAGGGGGACAGGGGGACAGGGGGACAGGGGGACAGGGGACAGGACGCAGGAGTGTGCGCGTATCGGGGTGGGTGTGCGCGTATCCGGGTGGGTATGTGGTTATGTGTATGTAGATGTGTTCAGATCTTTGTATCTGTGTGTGAGTATGTGTGCGTGTGTGTGTGTGTGTGCGTATGTGTGTGTATGGGTGTGTGGGTGTGGGTGTGTGTGTGTGTGTGAGTGGGTGTACGTATGTGTTTGTATTGGAATTCGCATGGGTGTGTCTATGTACACATGTACGCGTTTGTGGGTGCGTGTGTGTGTGTATGTGTGCGGGTGTGCGTGTATGTGTGTGTGTGCGTGTGTGTGTGCCTGTGTTGACATAGTGTGTGTATGTACAACAGGTACGACATGTTGCACATTGAGTCTCCCTGCACAAAGCTTATAAAAGCATTTTTGAGCGTCCGCGCCACAGCTCCGATCACCACTTTAGTTACAGCCGTCGTTGCGCATGGAGCACAAAGCCTCGCCGGGATAGTACTCTGCTTCATCTCGAGGAGATGCATAGCTCTGCTCACGTTTATGGCGCGGCTTCCACCAACTTCGGTTGTAGAAGCTCTGGTGCTGCATAACCTCTTGACGGCGCTTAGCATCTCTTTCCGTAGCCTTCTGTTTATCACGTTCTTGTTGAAGTGTCAACCTCTTCACTTTCAATGCTTCCAACTGAACTTGGAGAGCAAGCTTCGCGTCATCGTCAACACCCCTGGCCGTCTTCTGGGTCATCTCTGCTCTTGCTTTGGCTTTCTCTAGCTCGCGCTTTTGAGGCTCAGCATCTGTCTTGATAGTGGTAGAAGTCTTGCAAGTGCAGCGGTTACCGCCCCATTTGGAGCATCCCGGACACTTCTTCCGCGCCATGGTCGTGTCTTGATCTATGTCTTGGGGCTACTGTGGCTTGCAATGGCTTCGCTAGGAGGTTGCGGACGATAGTAATCGGAATAGGAATAGCAATACAATGCAAACAAGAATAAGATAGTAAATAAACTAATGCAGCTCAAGCCCGTCTGCAGCGCTGAGGCCAACACCTGATGCGGACATAGAAGTAGCATCTTATTAAATAATATATCCTATATAATTAGGTATGCATGCAGGAATCGTGCCTCGAAGTATTCGTTTATCATATTGCCATACATCAACTATAGAGTTATATGTATATGACCCCATATATCGACACTCCAAGGAACAATAAGAAAAACGTAAAGTAAAAAATGAAAACTCACATGCCGGTCAGCTTAATCATAGCTGCGCAATATTCTTTACGTGGGTTAACTGCCTAAATGAACAAACACATAGACGGCGAGGTACAGCCAGCGAGGGGGGGGGGGGGGGGGGGCGCCAAAAAAAAAAAGAAAAAAAAATGCGGAGGGGGGGGGGGGGTCAGCGCCAAAAAAAAAAAAAAAAACTAAAATCTAAAATCTTTTTTTTTTTTTTTTTGGCGCTGCCCCCCCCCCCCCGGCCATTTTTTTTTTTTTTTTTTTTTTTTTCGCCCCCCCCCCCCCCCTTGCGGGGACAGCCTGTTCGGCCCTTGCGCATAACAGAAGTCTTAAAAGAAGACATTGCGTATATATAACAAAGCAGCTGTGACGGTAAGGACAAGTGAGAGATCAGTGTACGAAATGTTGCGATATTCCAAAAGGATGAAATACAAACCGAATTATTATAAATATGTTTGGACTACCAACAAGGAGTGTCGAAAATATGGGGCCCGTAATGTCTTATTTTCTGATAAAATAATGCTTCATGACTGTAGCAACGATGGTAGTCGTTCCAATGTTGGCACAAAGAAGTGAAAATTGGGCCAGCGTAGGCCCCGAAGAGTGAAAGAGCACCTACAGTAGCAGTCCCCGGGGCCGGCGGCGGACACCGGGAAGGACCGGTCTTGGTCGAGACTGTACTGTTCCGCGAAGTCGCAGTGCCGAGACTGACAAGATGGTCATGGTGATGATAGTGATAGAGGTGCCACTGGTATGTATGTGACAACTAGGATGTGTATGGTGACTATGATGACGGCGACAACCCATTCTCCCCCAGGGGCACCCGCCCACCAGTAGCAGCCAGAATGGGCCTTGGGAACGCAATTGAATGCTTCAGAGGTAGCACAAGTCTGCAAGCGCTTCTGTCAGGACAGGCAGCACTTCCAGAAGCCTGTCTGGGGAATGGAACTTCCAGAAGGCACACATGATGGTGTCTCCATGCGTTTGCTTGTTGGCAAACGCTTCACGGGCCGGGCAGCTGGGAGGACAGTGGTTCCCTTGGGCAGCCGGGATTGCCGCCGGAGCTGCAGCCGCCAGGGTCCCTGGCCTTGGCCTTCGCAGCGTCCGAAACTTTAGCTTCGCAAAGTTTATGCACCTTCCGTGAGCCTGCATGCCTGCAGTCTGCAGCACGAAGGGACGTGCTCCATCGGGGTAATGTAGGCATGCAAACAAGTTGCACGCTTCATCGCCGAGGCGATCCTGAGCTACTTCACCTGGAAGCTGGCCGGGGCCCCAAAGGGCAGCTTCCAATGAACCAGGTACAGTCTCTTTGTTTGGCTTGGTTCAGATATGTTCAGATTGTTCGTTCCGCTGACCTCCAGAATCCCACCCAACAGGTCCAGGTAGCATAAACCCAGTAAATGTGTTCGCGAATATGCGATCGTTTGCCGGCTTTCGGACTTGAGTCATTCAATCGCGGCTAAGGCCAATGCCTCTCCGGCATTGGTTTCTACCTTCGCATTGCTGTAAGCGTAGACCCTGACGGCAGAAAACTTGAAGACTTCCCGCTTCGGTTTCCTGCACAGAGTCTGGGCACCAGGCCCTATGCCGGTCACCAGCACAGCCAAATGAGACAATACCAGCAAGAGTAAACCAAATACTGAGATGCTCGACTTAAAGTCAACACGCTGGACATCTCTTGATTGAGTTCTCTCGATTGACCGGGGGACATCGACTCTGATGGCGAAGGTCTTGGTGAGCACAGCATTCACAGCTGAACGCCGGGCTTTGCATGCAGATTTCCGTTTTCTGAACCCGCAAATTGCAGTCGGTGCATCCTGCTCAGGCCTTGGCGTTGCTGACGGGTGGTTTGGTGACTTTGCTCGCCCTCGCCGTAAGAGGCTTACAGTTGTCCGGTGCTGGATTTTCCGTGTTTTCCCGTATGCAAGGCCTGCCGCTTGGCAAATGTGTCGCCAGAAAAAGTCTTCGAGCGCAGCTCTCAGGGGTCAAAACTCGGTCAAGCGGAAGAACGGTGAAAGCGACATAAGTGCACGAGCCAGCGTCTATCTGCCTCGCGTGCTTGCGCATTTGCCTGGAAAGCTTGCTTCGGTGTCTACCGCTGTAGGTTGGGATCGAGCTTGCTGTCCTCGTACCGGCTGATTGGTTGGCGACCCAGCCATGCACACTGCCATCAGCTGCCACGCAGAGCAGCCACCGGAGTGTTGTTTTGAACATTGTCCTACAGACTGCCAGCCGACTGCAATACTGTTTGGCTGTTTAGTCATGTTCTCTTTTTGGAGGTGCCGTGGTGTTGACTTTGTCAGTCATTGCCGCTTGGCAGCGCTTATCTCCAACGACTCGAATCAATGTGGCATGTCAATGTGTCGTTGCGTTTCGCGCTCTTCCCGAGGCGTTTTTCTTTGCGGTCCGGAAGTGCCATGCGCAGATGTCTGAATTCGCAACTTGGCTTCCCAAGAGCCCGTATGCGCCTGCAGCGCTGCAAGGCATTTACTCGAATTCGGCTGCTTTCGGTGTGTGCTATTCAATATTCAGGCATCAGCGCAACTGGGTACGCTCCTGCTGCTGTCAGCCGCTGATGCCCCAGAAAGCTGCAGAGGATGCAGGCACCCTTGTGCTGCACGAGGTTTCGCACTTTGCTGCGCGAGTTGGAGCAGAGGCGAAGTGAGTACAGTCATCGAAGCGTGTGTGCCGAGCGCTGCAGTATCGATGCCACAGGCTCCCTTCTCCTTGCTGGATGACTTGGCACGGATGGTTGCAGAGGTGCCGCGCTCAGGGCTGCTTGCATGAACATGTCGCACACATGCACACTGGTTCGAGGCTCCCACTGCTCGGCCCTACCAAACTGCACAGAAGAGGGATAGTGAGCCACAAGAGCCCTTCGATTCGATGGAAACCTCACAGGTTATGAGGCTTGGGAAGGCGTGGCGATCACAATCTGGGTCTAGGATCGCTTTTAGTCAAATGCTTTCGCTCACTGGCTTGGCCATGACTGGCACTCCGGAAATCAGGTCCGGGTGTCGGACGTCCTGTGCTGCCCGAGCTGAAGCAAGAGACGCTGGTTGATGGATTGTTGCAGCGTCGAAATGACACTTGCATTCTTCTGCATAAATTTGCGGCACTTCCAGCCCTTTCCGGCTTCGGCTTTCTCGACAGCGTGATTTCACATTTGTGACTCGGTCGTCGGAGTGGCTCCAGCCAGCCAGTGCTATCCCACGAACCCGCATGCCGCATGCTGTTAGATACCCGCTACCTTCTCTCCGTCCCATCACGCAGCAGTTGGAGATCCCGGCTTCGTGTTATTGTGTTGCACTTCGAAATCCCCGGCATGATGTTGTGTTGTGACGCACGTGTGTGCGTGTGTGCAGGAACGAGCGTAAGCGATCGGCCGCTGAAGCTTGCGGTTCGATCGCCTTTTCGACTTTCAGGTATACCTCTTCCGCCTCCGCGGCTCCAGTGGGTCTCGACTTGGTGGGGCCGACTATTTCGACTTCCGCATCTACTCGGGGGCGCCATGGCCACGACGGGCACCAGAATCTACTCTGGCTGGCGTCGGCATCGGCACGGAGGCGGCTTCTGACTTGGACTTGGCATTGGGTCCATACAACAAGCCCGACATGCTTAATGAGACGCGGCTCCACTCCCCACACGATAAGGGTCGCCAGATCGAGTCGAGCGACCAACGCTGTGCATCTGGAGTTTGCGTCTGGCAAGTTGCAACAAGAAGCTTCATTTTCGATCCATATCTCATACAAACGCCAGGCGCTGGCCGGACGTGGTGGAAGTTAGCCGAGCATGAAGACTAAGCAGCCTCCGTTTCAACTCAAGTTTCGGAAAATGAGAAGGCACCAACAGAATTATTCAAATCACATACCAGTAGACATTGATCAATTCAATTTCACTTGGAAGGGATGATCTATGTCTGTTGCGGCCATAAAGACGCACGTCATCTTCCAGTCTGTACTGGTACGTGTAGGGCCTAACGCCACAGTGGCCGAGGTCCGTGCTGGCAACTGTCATTTGTGGGAGACAGACGAGTCGCAGCAGGAGCGCGGTTTGGCAGGGCAGCGCTGCTAAGAAAGGTTTGAGATTCTGCGGCTTATGTTGTGTTCTTGTGTTCTTGTGGTGTCTTACGGCATTCAGCGTTTGATGCGGAGGGCTACAAGAAACGGTAAACGCACAGCAACGCACTGAGCCTACGCTTCACTCGTTTAGTCTTTCATCAATCACTCCAGCGCAGCCATTACGACATCCACCGAATCCACTGGCCAGCGATGACAGCATGGACGGATCGGTATTTTTTGTCTGATGAGCACCACGACCGTCACCAGTAGCATCAACATCACCCATGCTGCCCTTCTTCAGGACTTCATGGGGTCGAGAAGCAATGCAAAGCTACTGGATGCTACTGGCCAGGTCTGCTGCTGCACACCCGAAAGCCGGCCTGAAGGTCGCGTATCCTGAACCCGGCCAACATGACACTCAGGGGTTCTTACGTTCAGAATGAAAGGATTCGGTTGGTGCTGAAGTTTGGTCGACCAAAAATGCATTCCTTGCACAGTCTCGAGCAAGCCGCATCCTCCGCAGAGGCTGACGCCGTCGTCTAGTCCAAAACTTTTGAGTTTGGAGCATTCCCCAACTTGGTGATGTCAGACTCGTTCTCATTTGGAATGTCCTCTCTCTCTCTCTCTATCTGAGTCGCTATCGTCGAGGTTCCTTGAGATGTTCTCGACATCCCGACGTTCTTGGGGGCATCGAATGTTTGGCGACGCTGAAAATCATGTTCCCACGATTGGGATGAGCGTCCTCTTCTCGCCACAGTTCCACGTACTTCCACCTTCGGAAATGAATAAAATAGTGCTCTGCCACGGCGCGTACTTTGAGACTCGTGTTTCCGCCTAGAATTGTGCTCGCGACACGGTCTGGTGCGCCTCCGCCTACAAAATCGTGACTCTTGGGAGCCTGAGTGGTGCTCGTTGTGTCTTGGTGGCTCTTGGGTACTCCTAGGTACCCTTTCATTGTTCGGGGTTTGCTCTTATGTTGGCGGGTTCGGACAGCAGCAGCCGGTAAATCTCGCCAGCACTGTTACAGGCTGAATGTGTTAACCTGAATGTTCAGGTACCTGTCTCTGTCCAAGACCCTGGCATCCAAGACGTCGAGCCACGGGAAATCACGGCAACACACACACACAGCATCAACCTCGGCAAGGACAGATAGCACGGCCATGTCGCAGCATCACGAGCATGCCTTGGCACCACTTTGGGCAGCAAGAACCACGGAGTCCATGTCGTCACGCATCAACACAGAAAGTCTGCATCCTGGGCATGGAGGGCCATACCCCGAAACCGATCCGAAGCGCCGGATCCACTCACGCCGCAAAACCGCCCCAAAGTGGGTTGAAGTCACGCACTATCAGAAACTCCTTCAGCAACGCATTAGACCCTAGTATGGACGTCAGCTTCGAGTTGAATGCACATCAACATTGTTTGACAAGACAGGAGATCTGAAAATAAGGAGTGTGACTCCGAACCACTACCAACCTGGATGGCGAGCCAGACGATTTCACCCATCATAGCCTGACGGCCTGACTTCCCCAAGCATCCATGCCAGAAACCACATCAGCCCCGTCTCTGCAGACCACGAAACCCGGCGAAGCGTTCCAGTGGGACGCAGAACTGCGCACAGCTCGAAGCCAGCTGCAATTTTGGTTGAGGGCATATTCCATTGGCTTTCACGTCGGCATCTCTCAGACGGCCCTTGCCCTTGACTATCGGGATGCCCAAGCATGCAGCTCAGCCAAGCCGGGGAGAGGAACTGGGCAAATTCGGTGTTGGGAGATGGGAGAAACACCGTCTGCACAAAAAAGTGACACGCTTTCGTTGCTGACATATTAGCCGTACAGAAGTCTGTGGTAGAAGACGCCGTACACTTTGATGCACGGGTCACACTTGACCTTGTGCATTGTCGCTGGCTAAAGAGACCCGTGGCGTCCGCTATCATAATTCCCGAAGGCTTTGCAAAGGGTGTTCCATGGAGGTGGTTGGGATAGCTTTAGTTATCTAATGATTTGCAATGTGGTGATGTTGATGTCAGGTGCATTTGAAGCTGGCGCAAGGTTGGTTGGCGTGGGGTTGGTTGGCTACTTGTACCAGATACTACTGGAACTAACTACTCTAATCCACTGAATATATGTTAACGCACGTGAATTCCAACGCATGGGCCCCTGTGTGGCCCGAAAATCACAGCCCTCGGTGTGCGATCCGTTTTCAATTCCAGTACATGGGCCATGGATGGCCATGGGACTCCTTCGTCCTTGGAGGCAACGAAGTCTTGCAACCCTGAAGCTGTTACGGCGCGTGCGCCTCCTCACAAGTCCGCTCAAAGTCCATCCCTTGCAAATTCCAATTTGCGTCGGTTTCGAGTTCTCTTTCTGTCGCTTGTGCGCAGTCTTGTATGCGCGAGCCGTACTTAATCTTTCAACATGCTGCGTGCGGATTGGCGTTGGTTTAGGTCTCGAATGTTCAAGAAGTGCTTTACACAGGGTTTATCGAACGGTGTACCGAGAGGGTTGGTGCGGTGATGAATGGATGCATGGATGCGTGGATGCGCGGGGCTGGGTGTGGATGGATGGACGGATAGTTGAATGACATGACTCGCTTGTATAGATTTGCGACAAGCTTGCGGTCACGGACTCCTGACAAATGTTTCTGGGATGTGATCTGCCGTCTTATAATGAGCTGGGCGGCCCACAGTACATCGGATTGCCATGGCTCCAACTCGACAGGCGATCCGACTTCGAAGCCTCATTTCATTGACGTTTTCCTTGCAGACGGAGGGCCTGAGGGTCGGCAAGATTAGTTGCTCGAGAGGATGCCTTAAGGCTATCCATGATGATACTGGTGAATTTGCTGCTGAGGATGATGCTGATGCATGCTAATTTCTGACTCCCTGCACAACTAAGTACTAAGATCGACCCACGTATTGCGGGAGGGCTCGGGCGGAGAGGATAGGAGAAGCACGGCGGCTCCGAATGGTTATCATTGATATCATTCATCACTATGGATGTCGTGATGATTGCAAATCATAACATCACCAGCAGCTCGGTGTGCATTGAGGTTGTTCTGTGTGTTTGACGAAAGTCTTCGTTTGGCGTAGAAACGGAGGATGCAGGCCTGGCCGGTTGTGACTGCCTGGCTCTCGGAGTTGGCACTGAGCAGACTTAGCATAAGTCCGGTCTTGCATTACACTTGCACGCCGATTGAAAGTCTGCAAGGTGGAGAGAAGTGTCGCACTGAGATCGCAGCATGGCCTCTACCCCAGTCACCCAGTCACTACACCGGCGCAACCATTTTACGTAGAGATCACCACATCTTCGCATGCATCTAGGTAGACAACTTGCAGAAGCCAGTTGTATTGGCTCCTGGTGCAACATCCAGCTGCCGCGTCATTCAAAGCAGTTCGTTGCTGAACGAACTGGGATTTGGTCCCGAATGAATCGATGTCGCAAACCCCGTGCATGCAGGTGCCATATCATTGTGTCGTTCTCTTCTCGTGTGCTCGTGGACTAGCAGCAAGTTCATGTCTGAAGAACAGCTAAGATAGAGCTGTTTGAGAAGTATCAGCTCAGCGGGCGGCCTTCCTATCCACGTTTATCCACCATCAGGCCACACACATTGATCAAATGCTACCATTATTGAGGCTCTCGCGGGCGGGACAACTTGACATCAAAAACTGTGCCAGATATGATCTTCGGTGCATGACAACAAGCGCCGAAAAGCATGGACAGTGATTAAGTTGAGGAGTTTGAACATGGCAAGCACGCGCTTTGCGGGTAGTCTGCTTCACAACGCAATCCGACACTCAGCAGTATTCGTTTTTCAAACAAATTCAATCAGCGTCCGATGAGGCTTGTGAGCTCGGCAACTGTTCTGCTGAGCAGATGTCTGCTGCGGTGGCACCGTTCACGCAAGGCTGGTTTGCACGACCTTCGGTATTGATTGATCTCTGAACTTTCAATATCCGCAGAGGTCGACAAGCCCACTCAGGAGGAAACTGCGCCTTTGGCAAGAGAGGGCCAGACGGGGCCAAGTCTGTCGCCCCAGGCCACGAGATCTGTGAAGCGTTGTGAAGCTGGCACTATGCCGAAGGGTCCTTCAATTGCTCCGATTCGAGCAGGTGCTTGGGGCTACATCGCCGGAAGCGTAGCGCGGACCAAGGCCAGTACTCTTCATGGGAGCCACGGCAGTGCTGGGACGGTACCCTTCCAGTGCTGCGTTTAAAGCGCAAAGCTCTCCGGAGCGTATTGCTGGACCATGTTGCAAGCCTGACGAAAGCCCGGTCAGAGTCAGAGGACGGAGGAATGTCGCAAGCGAGCAGAGTATATAGAGGCTCGACCAGGAATCTCGCAAGCTGATCGTCAACAAGTTCGGGATTTCGACTATGCCTTGTCGTGCACCCCCACCCCAAGTTCTCAACATTAACATGGTCGCATGAGCAGCTCCTGCCGCCCAGAATCGGGCCTCCCGACCCGGCCCGACCCACTTCAATACACAAGTTGACGATGAGAGCACATCTGCGACCATGCCGGTGGCCTCGGGCTAGCTCCGCGAGGCGAGGGGGCCTTTGTGCACACGACCCCACTGCTCAAGTTCGACAACCTGCAACGGAGCCGCTGGGGCCTGGGCACCCTGACCCTCTTCCTCTTGCCGCTTGCCCTCACAAGACGCATGAGTCCATGAGGCGACACCAGCAGGCAAGCGACGCAGGTCAGGGACGGCCCAAGAAGGACCGACTGTGACAGATAAATCAAATAAGTAGATAACGATCGATATATATATATATATATGCTATCCCCCCCTGGGTTATCTACCCGTTTTGGGTGGAAATGACAAATGACCGAATTGGCCCCTAGCCCGGGCTGCGACGGATCCCGGATTGAAGATCCCACCTGACACATCCTATAAGGTACCCTGATCGAACCCTTATGGAATCCCGACAGCCCTTGTAGGTGCACGGACACCTGCAAACGCGTATCCAGTCTGTTCTTGGATCTGTCCAAACTCTGGACTACACCCCCTTCTAGGACGGAAATACTAGGCTAATGCCTTTTAACCTTAGTACCCTAAAAACCCTATTCTAGATCTTGCGAAAATGCCAGCGATCATGTATACAAGAATTCAATTCGACAGTCACTTAGGCAGCTGCTAATACTCGTGTATGTGTGCGTGCATGTTTATATAGTATTGCGGCAACCCGTAAAAAGCAGCACAATTATGCAACAAAGGCTATTAAAGTAACATAGCATATATGTATGCAGGTTCTGTCCTGGCTTCCCAAAGGCGAGCTTTTTGCTGGCACACCATCATTGTGTCTATCCCCAGGTCTCACGCGCGACACGGACACACAAAATGTATATTGATGTGCATTTTATGCAAACTAGGAAACCACATCAATACTGACATTACAGACGTAGGTAGATCTGTACAAGCATTTGGTTAGAAATATTTTCTTTATAAGGTGTCTAAGGCGCAGCGGGTAAATTACACGCTGTTTGGAATGTGCTCATATGAGTGAACATACTTCTGATATACTTCTGTGTATAGAGATCATCGGGTCAACATTGGTCTGCCTAAGTGGCGACGGTTTATCCATGTGTATCTGACGCCAACGCAAATCTTGATGTCGTTGCTGTGGCTGTTACATGCTGTTACTACATGGTTGAGAATACGTATGTGTGTTAGGTGCAAAAACCCTGCATTTCCCGTAGCCAGAAAGGTATTGCCGTGCTGAAACACACAGTTGCCCACTAAGGGCTTATGCACCAAGGGTAGCTTATGCACGGTGTAGAAGTTGCACTAGGATTTGTCGGCTTCTCTCGTATGTGACCATGTATTACGCATTTCCCACACAATACTGGTATGTACATTCCAGTGGTAGTGATTTCGAATACCTTACTCCTTGCATACGCATCCTATATGTGAGGAACTTACCCTTGTTCTGGGAATTAGGGATTTGGTGCTTGGGGGCTTGGCGGTTTGCAGCTTAGATATGAACCTGGTGAACGTTTGCAACCTCAAACCGCAATCGGGTTCCATTCGGGCTGCAGGGTTTAGGGCTCAGCGTCTGGGTTACTTCAGAGCATAATTTAGGGCTCAGCGTGTGGGTGAATTTAAAGCGTAGGGTTTAGCTTGACTGACCAATCCGCGAGCACTATTGAGTTCAATAGGCCTGCTGAATTCAATAGGGCTGTCGGATTGAAGATTCAAGATGCCTGGGAAAGTTTGCTGTGACATCTTGAATCTTGGATCTGGAATCCGACAGCCCTAGTGAATTCAATAGGCCTATTGAGTTCAATAGGCCTCGCGCGTGGATTGATATTCAAAACTCCGGACGCATCGGGACTGTTCCCAGTGAGTGCCTTAACACGTGCGCAGGCATGTACTTCAGCATCCGTTGTATTGTTTTAGTTCTGCACACATGCCAGGATTCAGAGTATACACATACACACATACAGAGTAGTCCTTTTAACTGGCAGATAAGTGAAGGGTCAGGGGAAGAATGCGCAGGATTTACGCCAAAACTGGTAAATAACTCGGGGGGGATACCATATGTACATATATATATATATATGTATATATATATATATATATATATATATATATCCGAATGCATCCCCTCTACCTAGTGGTCGGCAAGCCTACCGGACACGTCGGGGGCGAGCGTTTGCCGCAAGTCACAAGTGAAGCCGCAGCGCAGGCCATTTCAGCGGCTGCGGGCATACCCCAGAGCGAAGGCACCACCGCCTTCCGTCCTAGCAACAGCTGCAGCTGGGAGACCAGAGCGAGGAGGACTGGCCCAGCGACCAAGAAGACCAGGACGTGACGCCAAAGCGGCAGCAGCGGCGAGAGCCCGCCGATGCCTGTGACACCTCGAGCGCTAGCAGACAGGGCGACCAGAAGCAGCAGGAGTGAGCCTCAGACGACATCAAGGTGCGAGTGGCCAGTCCCACCCAACCTGCGCGAGACCATGCAGGGCTTGCACCAGATGGATGAACCAGCCGCAGTCATGCTCCACGACGCGTCGAAGGAACCTTCAGAGTTGACAAACCAGCCGGCACTTCATCGTGCATCGTGGGCATGCTGGTCATCGATTGGACCTAGGAGCCTGCCTCAAAGGCTGCGGGGACGATGCCTGATTTCAGGCAAACGGTAAAGGGCTCGGCGGGGGGCTTCACTGACGACCCCGAAACCCTCTTGCCTAAAGCACGAAACGGCAAGGGGGCGCCAGTTGGGCTGCCTTGGTGACATCTGGCGACATTCTTCAGACTCACCCCGCAGAAAAGGAAGAAGAAAAGTATAAGAAGTGAGCAGTCCGGAGGGGTCGACCAGTACCTTAGCCTGCGGAAGGGCAGGGGGATTTGGGGGGTAAAGTCGAGTCTTAGTGGTTGTAGCGTGCTGGGCAGCAAATCCAACAGGCATCTGACGGTCCTCGAACACTGCACGACATCGCGAACGGGCCGCACGCCTGCGTGCCTACCGGAACTGACTGTCCTGCACGAGGACTTGGCAAGAGCCCCCCCCCTGTGGCATAGGAGCCGCCGCCCGGGGACCGACCGCCACGGGCCTCGGGGGCCGCGCATCAAACTTTTTGAACGCAAACCTTGAGTAGCGAGTATACTGTATAATCATATTGCTGTTGCTGCCACTTTAAAGCGAAGTCGGGCTCGCGTACATCATAAGATGAACAGGGACACAAGCTGTTGGCGATTTGAAGCACACGCTCTGAATTGTGCGTCAGCGTTCGGACGAGTGACCTAGTTTTGAGCATGTACCTGTGACTCGTGTATCTCGTGTACAGTATCTGATGTCAGACTGTGCCACACTTCGGAGCTCCGCCAATTTTCGTGGTGACCGATTGAAATCTGAACGAGTCGTAATGTGTTTGTGACATGTACGGCCCGTTTAATTTCGTTACTGCAGGTGCATGTGTTCGCGTCGCGGATGTTAACCTTAACGCTACGCCACCCGTCTCGGCTCCTCAGGGGCAGGGGCTGGATGAAACGGCAAAGCCTTCTGTATCACTCAGGAAATCTGTTCAGGTCACGGCTATATTGAGATTTCAACAGGCGCGGGGGCGCCGTAGAGCTGCTTCTTCATCGAGACATGTCAGCGTGCAGGGGGGGGAGGGGAAGAGGGGGGGAAGGGGGCAGCAGGCAAAGAGGGGATCAGGGGAGGGAAGGCCGGAAAAACCGGTTAAAATGAAGGGAAGCCGGGCAAGGGGGTGGCAAATGAACGCAAAAAGCGAGTGTCTCCAAACTTTCAAACTGCAAGGAGGAGGATTAGGTGGAGGGTACTTGAGGTAACCCGCAAAACGCCTGGGTCTCGGCGGATTAATGCATGTGGCCCCAGACAGCTCATGGACTCATCGTCAAGGGAATGTTGTAGATCAAACCTGATGCCTGCGGGCCAAGAGTTCGTCAATCTTCGTACTCAATATCTGCAGGGTATGCCGGCACGCACCAAACACTTCACACACACCCCCAACTGCAACCTTGCAGCTTGTGAGCTTGTGTCAGCTTGTGTTCTCTTTGCAGGTGTTGCAGTGTTGCAGCAGAAGCGGGCGGTTCGCAATTTGAAAGCCTACCCGCCCGCCCTTCACTATGGCCCCATGTGGCCGACCGACGGTTGCGCGTTTCTACGGCGGTGTGTGACTCTCCTCATTGTCAGCTGCAGCTGCAGTGGCCTGCCTGGGGTGGCGGATCATGTGGGAGGTTCATTGAGAAGTGTGTCTACATGCTTAGTGCGTAAGTGTTGTATTTATGGAACATATCATCCGCAAAGATAGTCAAGCCATGCTACGATACGTACAAAGTAGTACCGTATGTCATGTCCATCAGAAGCATTGACAAGTTTGGGGGAGCATGAAGATGCAGGTGCTTGGTTGACGCGCTCCCTGTACATACTACTGATGCCGGGATCGCGGAGGCTGGAACACCCAGCTTCCTTCCTGATCGTACAAAATATTCACCCGATCACTGCCACGACACATCAACTCTTACTGCAAACGTCACACTGCTTGAAATCGATCTGCCGGCTGGTGTGGCTCAGCTCCAAGATCCGGAAGCTCCAGCTGTGGAAGGAGGGCACTTCCTCGGACCCCAAAGTGACCTTATACCTCAGTCGTCCTTCATGCGCCAGGGTTTTAGC